AGTAATAACTGTTTATCAATGTCATGAGGATTTAATTTGAGGAGATCACATTCTTTAGAAGTATCAAATTCATGAAAGGATTTTGGCTTGGCCTTTGAAATTCATCATTACAGGCAGATTTATTTGATTGTTATGCATGCATTAAACACTACACATGCATTAAAAACACTACATGCATTAAAAACACTACAATTATTTTTGAAAAAGTACACATGCAGTTTCACAAGTTTTCTGTGCTTATTTGAATGTTCTGCATTCATTTCTAAATCTTTACTCTTATTATCTTTTTAAAATTGCCAAATTGTATAATACTGTGATTATAAATATATGGTACTTGCAATTATTGAAGTCAGATTATATATATTTTGTCTCATACTATTCAATTTATTCTATTGACTTCAGATGTCAATGTCAAAATTCTGGAAGTTATTTTAACCAAGAAACAGTAGTGGGCACCGTGCATAAAGCAACTCATCTAACTTTTTAACAACAGTGATTATAAAATAAGAAAAAAATTATATATCATTCCAACGATATTGCAACTATAGTATAATGTTACATATATCTTTAGCAAACATTCAGATTTTATCTTGACTTTCCAAATTATTATTTATTTTTTAATAAATTTCAATATGCTAATGATTTTCATGTTACATTAGTATAAATTCCACAATTAGCACAGGAAAACAAAATCTGCGCTTTATATTAGAAGAGAAATTTCTTTTCCACATTCAAAACATCCACATTGGCGATGTGTTTGGCGACGGGTACATTAACCCTAGACTAATTTAATTATAGCTATTATTACAGAAATTAGCAGATACTCAGGTTATTGTACACAAGAATTTCACTTTACTTGCACATTATAAACATCAGAGAAGATATAAACTCTAAATGAAGGCGTAATTAACATTATACTTACTAAGCAAAGTTCAGCGCCTGGACCAGGTTTCCAATTGTCTCTTCGGCAATTATTTACCCATATTTTTCTTCTTTCTTCATTTTTAGGAAATTTTACCAATGTATGACCTTTCCGTGAATGATTTGAACAATTAATAGCTGCACATCTGCCCATTTTACACAAAAAAACACAAAAAATTGTTGCACCGTAACTACACAGCCGCCATTAAATCTCCCACTTGGGATCGCGAATGCCTGATGATTCAGCCTGGTATATAGGAGCCTTAGTGTAAACGGGTGGGATCCTTGGGAGTAACAACTTAACGTTAGCGTACGTTTTTCTTGGGACCAAAGTTCCGCTAGTGTAAACGTGCCTTAACAAGCTTAAGTCATAGGGAGACGCCCGAGGCTTAAGGGGATACGAATATCTATTAAAGTTGCAACTTGTGTAAATGCAATTTTTATGTTACAATTCTTTAATTTTCTCTTTCTAATATCACAAAAGATTTTCTCTTCATTTTTACTTCCTTGTACGAAGTAAAAAGGAAGTATTGTAATCGCGAAAAGTTTCAGGCAGCATATTTCAACGAAAATATCCATTTTGACCGCTATCGAATGCAATTGAACGATGTTTTCGTGTGATATCTGTACGTAAGGACAGAATAAAAGACTTGTTTCCTCCAAAAAAAAATTATAAAACTGCTTTAAAATGAATTCTGAAGTGAATTTTTCGTGGCGTCTGTACGAACGTACGTACGTACGTATCTCGCATAATTCAAAAACGAGTAGCCTCAGAAAGTTGAAATTTTGTATATAGGACTGGTATAACATGCAGATGTGCACCTCGTATTTTGGTTGCAATCGGCCGCACGAAACTTATATAAATATATTTATATATATATCCACTCTGTTACCCGGCTCAGTGATCTCAGTTTCTTTACTTTTATATGTTTGTAAATTGTACAATTTTTGCTTTAAAAATGATTGAATTATGTTGTTCTTATATTCCGGTTAAGGTTTTTATACCTTTAGTAAATCTGTAGGCAATATTTTTAGAATTATCAACAATTTTATTCTGCTGAGAATTCTTCCTGTCAGAGTATGTTCCATAGTAATTATTGCTTATCTGGATGGGTACCATCATCTCTTTTACTTTGTAAAACTAATCTGCGCTTTCCCTGTACATACACATTTACAGATAGCATTTGTTTAGGTTCAGACGTGCGTTTTTTAGCAGGGCATTTAAGGTCCCATTAAAGCTTCGTGTTCTTCTGTTTTATCTCGATCGCTCGTTTCTCTCTTTCGATACTAACAATGTGAGAATTTCTGAACAATAGATTTTTATATTCTTAGGTACAATGGAGCTGAGGTCTAAATACATTATAAATATTCTTTGTTTTAAGTAAAGTATAAGCTATTTTAAGCGAACGTGTCGAATCTATTAGATGCCAGTGACGAAGCAAAATGTGTCTGTTTGATTAATTATGGTAAAACTCGCGATGGCCATTTGCCAAAGTGTAGGGAAGAATTTCCCGGAGGAAAGGAATGAGGATAAAGTTCGCATCAGGAAAATGCGGTCTTGGCAAAAAAAAAAAAAAAAAAAAAAAAAAAAACCGCAGAATCGCTTATGAAGTCATGTCTGTTCTACTGGATTCGAATTTTACTAAGAACATATAGTGAATTTCAGTTTCAGAAAGCAGCGCCTCCTTATATTCTGTATCACGTGAAGAACATCGGTAAAACAAAAAGACGAAAGTAAAAGTCAGCGGGCCGCCATCAGTCGACAAAAAAAGTGAGTGTCTGGTCGAAGATCCAAATCAGTGAACTGAAGAATCTAGTATAAGTAAAAAATGTTAAGGATGGAGAATGTCAATGGATATTTGTGCTTTTCTATAGGAAATGGAGTACATCTAAGAGAGTTTTTGCAGTTGTTAGGATGAGAGCTGAATAGAAAAAATTTCTGGCAAGTTTTTGAATATAATCTTAAATTGCATCTACTTTGAGATCACGGTGGATATACGAATTTGAATGAACCATGGCGCGTTGATGATCTCTCTGAGTGCTTTGTTTTGAAGAACTTGGATGTGTTGAAGGTGAGTTTTGACAGTGTGGCCCCAGACAGTACTAGCATATAGTAATGCTGGTCGAAATATAGATTTATATAAGACGAGTTTATTAGAAACGGGCATATGACTTCTTCTGCCAAGAAGTGGATGCATAGTTGCAAGCGTGATATTGATTTTTTTCACAGTTCTAGGCGGAGTGAAATTTGTTTGGCCTTTGCGAAAAATTATTGCTTTTGATTTTTCGGTATTAACTGTTATGCAATCCTCCAAAGAGTGACCCAATTTTTTAGGTGATTGAGGTAATGTTCAAGAAGGAGCTGGACATCAGTAACAGTAGAAGCTTGGGTCATAATTGCAGTATCATCAGCGAAAAGTGTATGTGTATGTGTATGTGTATTTAATTATGGCAAAGCACACGAGGGCTATCTGCCTAAGGGGAGGGATGCCTTTCGTGGAGGACTTTCTAAGGGAAACTGGCTCGTATACACGTTACACATGGGGAAAACCACGAAAACGCCCATGCAGCCAGCCCGTTCGCGGGATTCGAACCTCGGACCGAACTACCAGTGTTCAGCGACTTTACCGCTCGGCCGCTGGTGGGCCATCAGCGAAAAGAGCAATGGTAAATTTGTGGGTCCTTAGGAACATCGTAAATGTAAATGTTATATAAATATGGAGAAAGTATAGATCCTTGAGGCACTCCAGCGAAACTTTTTCTCTTGGAAGAAACAGAACTGCCATTTTTCACTGCAAAGATTCTGTTCTGGAGTAATACAATGATCGGGGAAGTTTAACTTGATAAGTTTGTATATAAGTCCTCATTGCCATATCCTATCAAAAGCTTTCGCAATATCAAGGAAAATGGCTCCGGTAGGGAACTTACAATTGAAACCGTCAGTAATATAGTTGATGACACGAAGCAGCTGGGTATTAGCACTGTGAAGATGACGGAAGCCAAACTGTTCTTCTGGAATGTAGGAGGTTTGTGGAATAATTTGATTAAGATGATAAAGAATAACTTTTTCAGCTATTTTAGAAAGTTGACTGAGAAGGCTGATTGGGCGGTAGTTCTGGGAAAACGTTGAATTTTGATGCGATTTTGGGAAGACCAGGGGCGTAGCTAGGGGGGGGGCAAGGGAATCTGTCCCCGGGCGCAGAATCCAAGGGGCGCCAAACTGATCATTCGACATTTTAGAATTAAATGTTTTCCATCTTTGGCAAGCAGTAGGGGGCGCGAAATCTTCAGTTTTCCCTGGGCGATGAAAACCCTAGCTACGAATCTGAGGAAGACGACGATGATGGCATGCTTCCATATATTAAGAAAGTAAGAGAATTTGATGATAGAGTTGATTATCTTAGTAAGACAAGTGATGGCATTATAGGAAGTTATAGGAAGATGTTTCAACGGTTTGGTAGTACCATCAACACCAGGAGCTTTTCTGGGTTTTAAGGAGCTAATATAATCGGCAACCAGCTTAAGCATGGCAAAGAATGTAATGTTCAAAGGACCTAGGATTTTTAGGAAGGTATTAACAGTATCATTAACTTTGGAGATATGGTTGTTGTCGTAAGGGGTAAGAGGTCTTATCCACTCGGTTGCTGTGTAACTAGTCTGACATACCTTTTGGAATTTTCTTGCTTGCATAACTTCTAATTGAGCAAATTGTTCATCATTATGTATTGGGCCTTAAAAATGTTATTTAATTTTTAAGAAAAATTATAAGTTACTGTAATTCATATTGTCGCCCATTTTATTTTTAAAATCGCTTTCTGTAACTTACTTAGCTTCTTTGCTTGCTAAATGCTTAAGATGTCTCTTTACGCTATGAAAATTTACTTAGCTTCTTAGTGATTAAGATTTTTCTCTTCACTTTGAAAATTCTTTTTTATTTCAATTCTTATTTTATTAATTATGTATATGAGGATCAGATATGCAGTAATTTTATAAGAAAGTATAAAACGCGTTTTCTCCCGTTTAAACAGAAACAAAAAGAAAAGTCATTACTCGTGAAGGGAAGAAGCTGCTTACTGAAAGTATTAAATGTAATACCCCTGAAAGTGGTTACTTTCCTGTTTTTGTATTTTGAGCGCGGTTTGTCCTTGTATATGTCTTCTTTTTTGTTTATAGAAGGAGAAACTAGGATTGAAATGTTATTTTAATATTAACTTATTCTAAAATACTTTTGTTAAAATGTAGTTGGATCATTTTAGTTACAAAGTAGTGTAGATCTTAACTTTGTTTCTCTCTCTTGAGGGAATAATAATTAAGCCTAGAGTCCCTGGAAGATAGCCGCAAATATTTATCCAGACGTCTATGAAGTTTCTCAATATTTTATGTAATATTCTACGATTAAGCCGTTATTGCGAATTTCAGCCCATTGCTGATTTTATGTGATCTGTCAAATATATGTCGGGCTGATATCGCAGACGGAGAAGCTTAACCCATCAGAAAATTTGATTAATCTTCTTTAGTATGAGGGTAAGTGAAAAATACTAAATTTTTAATTACTTATCGTTATCCTTTACATGTTAATCCAGACTTAACCATAGTTTACTTTATTAAGAAAATTATCCATGTTAATTGAAAAGAAAACTTTTAAGTTCATTATGCCAGTAACTCTGTTACGTGAAGTGACAGTTATTGCTTGTTTATTTTATTTGCATACAATAAAGTATCCTGCTATATAAGTGTATATAATTATTCTCACTGATGTGTCTTTTAATGGTAGATTCTTATTATATCAAATTTCAAAGTCAATTACATCAAATTTTCATAACACGTCTGTCATTACAAGGGTTGTTTTGTGAATGACAAGAAGTACCGTAAAGTTTATGTTCAAAACATTTCGGTGCTTTATCAGAATAGAAAAAAAAATCTATAGACATTTAACATCTTGATGTTATTTATTGCTTGTGTATGATTCTGAAATTCTTCCGTATATTTTTGTTATTTTAAAATTTTAATTTTTAAATCGTGCATTATGCCTTTTTTTTTTTTTGTATTAGAAGAGATTTGCAATTTTAGTTTCTAATTCGATGCATCTTTCTCTATTCAGTTTTGAGTAAATTGGAATATTTAATTTGTTGTAAAACTTTATTAGACATATTATGAATTTTTAATATTTTTTTTATGCTGATCTTAACATTTAATGGTGTTTCTTCGCTTGTATTCTAATCATATCTCCTTAATTTTTTTGTATTAACAGTATTTCAAGTTTTAAATTTCTTTCCTAATTGTACTTTGTAATTTGAGTCTGTTTATAGTTTTTTTCATCTTTCAGTTTTAGTTTATAATTTTTGTGCCTTTCTATCATTAGTTGGAAAAACATCATTTTGCATTATATAAAGGGAAAATGTATGATGCAAATCATGTTATAGTATTTAGTTTCTAATTTTAATGGATTAATAAAGTATTTTTTAATTGTATTGTGTCATTAAATATATATTTGTCTTTGTATAACTTTTTATATATTTTAATATTTAAGAATTTTTTAGAGTAATTTTATTTGGAAGTTCCTCACAAATCAATAGTAATGAATAGCAATATATTCTTCTTATTATTTTCTTTTATCAAAGATTAAGTCATCAATCCTATAAAATCCATCTGTTTCTGTTCTCTGTCCCTTTATTTTATTTTATTGTATTTTTAAAATTTCCTTTACTCTTAAATTGTAAACAGACTTCCGTCACAGATATTTAACAAAATGTAGAATTTTCTGTGATCCAAAATTAGATACAGCAGTTCTCATTATTTATTATGACTTAGAAACAGTTTTCTTATCCTTCCGAGAAACATCAGTTCCAAATCTTTCTTTCTAAAAGAGAAATTAAACTTGTAGGACACAGTTTTCTGGTCATGAGTATTATATAATAATAAATTATGATCTAAAATGTTGTATTTTAGGATGTTATGAAAGTTTATTATTTTTTTTAATCCTCTGAAGAAACTTAAAATTGAGTAATCTATATTTTTCAAAATCAATTTTAATAATGAAAGGATACCATAACAGTAGCATTTAAAAGTTATTTAGCCAAGCTTCACTAACCATAACCAATCACATATATAGTTCAAAAGAAGTTGCACGTTAGATTCTTGGATCCAAGTTATGAAAAACAATTTAAGAATCAAAAATTATTTAAATGTGAAAGCTAAATAATTATTAAAATTTAGATTTCTTATAGATGTAGAAAGTTTTCAGGAAATCAGATTTAAAAAAGATTTGGGGTAGCAATAGTACTGTTCAGTGGATGGTTTACAAATTTCTTTTTTCACTAATGTAAGTATCATGTTTCTGATAAAAATTTCAGTGCTTGGTAAACCAATCAAGCATGTTCCATAAGTTCTTGGATTGGCAGTATTGTATTGGTTTTCGAGATTTTAGATCACTTAAATGATTAGTGAGAGTTTTAATAAATTCATTAGGTAATGTCAAATCTTGAGCTCATATTTATTTTTTTTATGCATTATATTTGCAACTTTTAATTTTTGATTATCTAATTAAATAAAGAATAAAGTGTCATTATCTAACTAAATAAAAAGCAATCTGTTCTGTCAAACTTGTTTTGGAATGATTGTCACAAGTTCAGTGATATCTGCAAACTATTTCAGTTGGCAATAAAAGTACATTTTAAAATTTAATGATAAACTTTTCTTGTGTGTCCTTTTTTTTAACAATCAAACTAATCATTGTAGAACTACTATCATATAATTCAATTACATTCTTCCAAATAGTGTTTTCTTTATTTTTTTAATTATTAAAATAATATATCATTTTTTAGAAATTAATTCCATTCTTAACTTTTAAAGCAAAAGATTTAATCTTCGAGTATTAGCAGCCATACAATTTGATGTAATAAGGAAATTGAATTTCTGAATCAAACAAAATTTTACTAAGTTGCATGTAATCTTACACTATCTGGTAGATCCTTTGCCTTATGCAGAAACACACCACTTTGTCTTATCCAGTAAGAGAGTTAATATCATCATTTTGTCCCTGTGCTGATTAGAAGGAATAATGACTGTTGCAGTGATTTTCTTTGTTATCTTGCCTTCCACTGTTCTTTAACATTACAATATCTGTGAGCTGGAACCTTCAGGACTTTGGCAATTCCAGATTTTGGAAATTTTCAGTTTTAACTCATTAATTTAAATCCAGTAGACATGTAAAAAATTATAAAGTAAAAAAAATATGAAAATGTTTGCGAAGCATTTTGAGGATCTTAACCCTCCGAGTGGCGAGGGTTTTCAGTAAGAAAGCACAAATTTCCCAAAACTATTATGAGAACAAATTATTTTTTTGGCTCTAATGTAGAATTGGGTGCTCCTTCGATTGGCGACATTTTTTTAAAAAAATTTTGGCGATGAAACCTCACTTCTGGTTACCACGATAGTTTTAACTTTGTTTTAGCTTCCCGATTTTATTTAAATGAAAATGATTGATGTGTACATGGACTTATTTAAAGCAGTGTGCAATGCCTCGTTTGTGCAATTCTAGGATTTTTTTTTAAGTAAAAACAGATTGATGTGTACATGGACACAGATCTTATGCAATTCTTCGACTTCTTATTTTGGTTTTGTGTAGCGGCCATCTTGAAATTGTGCCTTGCTGGCGCCGATCTTGGCGTCAAAAAAGAATCTCCAATAAACAAGGGGCACCCATTTGTAAACTTTTACCATTTCTTTTATTTTAATGTCAAAACTCTCCTGGTATTTCATTCCTGGATTTGTGTAATTTTGATATATTGCCTTAATTTCTTTGACATATTTTAATATGCATATATATATATGTTCTTACAGATGTCAAAAAAAATATTCTAGGACGTATACCGTCTTTTTCTGAAAATAAGACACCACCGAAAATAAGCCGTATTGTGATTTTCGGAAATTTTTGTAAAATAAGATATCTCCCGAAAATAATCCCTAGTTAAAATAATGTGACAAAAAGAATTCATTAAAAAATGCTTTTGATTTATTAAGTATAAGTAATAATATGTTTAGCTTTCCTAATACTCGTATTTCAGAGAAATGTTTGAAACAAAATATTCCGAGAATTAATTGTTTACCTCTACAGTTCGTTTCAAATTAATTCTTGGAATTTATCTTAACCAGTTCACCATTTGCCCCGAGAGAGATATGTTCACAGGAAAGGCATCGTCATCCGTTAGCGTCGGCAGACTCTCGGGGTAAAATTTGGGCTGAACCGTAACCTCCGAGACACGTACAACGCAGCGACCATTTTTTCCAACCCCCACAGAATGAGTCGAAAATCAAAAGGGGTTGATTGATGGGTAAAAAATTCATGGGACAAAATAACTGATAGTGATGTTTCCAATGCACTGCGAACAGGCTACTTAAACAAAAAGTATTCATTTAACAATAGCTATATCGCAAAACATGAGAGATTCGAACCAATGATTCAACAGGAAATGGATTTGGAAGAAAATCAGAATATAATTCAGAATTTTATTTATGACGATATTCCAGAAGACGACGACATGACTGTAATTGAATAAATTTAAATTTCTGTATTCTGTGTAAAATAAATATTAAATAAAAATATATAAATATACTTTTATTTTTGCCCTTTCCTGAAAATAAGCCCTAGCGCAAATTTTGGACCAAAAAAGAGAATGAGACAGTGTCTTATTTTCAGAAAAAGACGGTATATATGGCCTTGCTGTTTAGAGGGTTAAAGAAATCAAAATTTTCAAAGAAAGCTCAATGCTAGCATTTATTTTGTTAAACATATACTAGTGCATTTGTTAAACATAAACTTCAATATAAGTTGCTAAAGAGTTATTTTTCTTGCCTCTTTAATTTTATGCAGAGACAAATTTCTTATTCAGTTTCAAAATTCTATTTTTCAAGTCATGTAATTGCCATATTGAGAATTCTCATTAAATAGTTATTTGAGATTACGTTAGTCTCAACAATTTGCCCTTGAAATTCTCTATCATTAATATCAATATTTTCTTTTTTTCAAGCCATACTACAAAACTTTTCATTAATTGGCTGATTGATTGGAGCATCGTCATTGCAGTGAAGACTTCAGTTGCATTACCCTGAGCATGTATTTGTGTATCTACGAATGCACAACCTATGACCCGCAGGCCAAATGTGGTCCGCTGAGACCTCCTCAAAATTTTGTTGAGATTTGACATATCGGTTGTCTCTAGAAGGGGTTTTGAACAGAAAAAATTCACTGCTTACCCCTTCGTTACTCAATTCTGCTCTCATCTCTCGAAGTCATATTTGGCACTGAACAAAGTTCCCGCCGTCAAACAAAGTAAGTTTCACCACCTGAGTGCTAAAACTGCTCTTGGCCTGTATGGCACATAGATTGAGGAAGGATCTGTGGTATGTAGCCTGAGGTGCTTGCATGCATGCACTAGGAAAGCCAGGCTGTAATATTCCGAAGGCTAGGAATGACTGTCTTTGAAATGATAGTTTGTAACCTGTATTGTTAGTATCTATGAAAAGTGGAAGGAGGATGTGAAACCAGTAGTCATTGCTGGTGCATTGGACATCCATGGCTTATCGATGAAAGTGAGTGTCAGATATGTTTGGTAAAAGCTGACTAGTGGCTGGCAGTAGTTTAACTGACGGGTGAATATAATGCAGCTTTAAGTGCATGAGTATCTTGAACCCACAGTTTGTTGGACTGTGCTGGATATGAAGCTCTTCAGCAGATGTTCTTGTATGCATACCTTTGTTAACACATCACCTTTGACATTCATAACTACAGTGGGCCTGCCGATGATAGCACCATCAGCAGTGAGAAAGATTTGGCTAATCAAATGAGTCATGATTTATTCTATATCACATCAAAGAATGTGTCAAGTTTTGCTACCTTTCAGGTGAATATTTGATTGACACATGTGCTACAAAGTATAACAGGTCAGTGATGGGGAAAGGCTTTTAAGGATGCTCTGATGAGTGATTCCAGAATTCATGGTTGTTGTAAAACACATCTTGACAACTGCAAAGTAGGTCATTGTTGATCACACTCTTTCACTCTACAGTAGGCCAGTGGTCCTTTTTTTTATAAAACTGGAATACCACTTTAGTGATGTGAAGAAATGCTCATGAATTCCATTTGATGTTCTAGTCTTGATAGTAATCAAATATTGATCCTGTTGGGAATGTCAGTGAGTGTCAGCTGAGAGCTTACTAGACACTTCCCTGATGTGATTTGCAGGAACTGTGTGACTGCTTGGTCCTCTGGACTTGAAGGAATCCCTGCCCTGATATGTTGCAGCTATTTTATGTGCAGAAGATGGAGTTGCATAATATTAGGAAATTGGTCATAATGTGTTAGCTGATCTGTGTGTAAGACAGTAACTTGGTGTTGTGAATTTCCCAGAATTACTTTTGCATATTTTAGGGATTTTCTAAGATTTCACAATTATCAGATTTTTTTATAAATGCCAAGTAAATTTACAAATTTCAGATTTTTTCCAGCAATTTTTTATTTGAATTTTAATTTCTGTGTTTAATTATATTTAAACAATTTATATTCTATTTCCAGTTAGTATTTCTGCAAAAATACATTGCAAAGTAATCCTGTTCCAAAATTAAAATGAGATCTTTGAATTACTTTAAGTCTTGCCTTTGAGATCTTTGAATTACTTTAAAGGGGGGGTGTTTTCTGAAATTAAGTAAAGCTGCCCTTCATTCTCAGTCATTGCTAATAAACACTCTCAGTGCTCAAAGTTGTTTTTTTAATAGGCATGTGATGAAGAAAATCTATGTATGTATGATGTAATGTATGAAAAACATATAATTCAGTTGTAATCTAAAGAAATGACTAATTTGAATGGTATAACAGGTAGTGGTGGTTGATTGCAAGCTTGAAACCAAGAATGTAGGACTTGACAGTAGTATGTTTGTTGTGTCTCCCCTCCCACTTCGTAGATGTAATATAAGTACTAGGTGTCTGTAACTGCTTTGTTGCTTGCAGATATCCCATTGTCCTGAAATATTAATATAAATCCTAACCTGCAAAACATTTTTCAGAAATGTTAATGTAAATCTCAGGTCATGAACATTTTAGAAATTTTTGCTCCTTGCTCCACGACTGCCTCACAAATTTCACCTTTTTTTCGCAATAAAATTTCTCCTGCTTGTATAGAAAGCCAACTTTCATATAAAGAGTCTTTATATGTATTTATATATAAGGTACAAAAGGAAATCAGGCTAAATTTTTTAAATTTCTTCTCATGTATTTCATCATTTTAAAAAGTATACAGTGTAGATGTATTTTAAACTACCATTAATGATTGCATGTGCTATAATATGTGCAGCTTATATCTTTTATTTTGAATATCTCTTTATTATCTACATGCATGTAACAATACACAATTATGTAGTGCTTCACATGGTAACATCAAGCATATCAGATATATCTCGCTGTGCATTAACCTTAGCTGTAAGGGGTGACTACAGTGTAATCTCTGCCAGTTGTTGGGGAATGGTTTCTGTGTGGCACCAAATGCTCCATATATGTGGGTAGGTTCCACTGAATAATGGAAAATATAGCTGTCAGTGTAATTTTGGAGCACACACGATGGCACAGTTCTTATATCAAATAGTCCTCTGCTGCTGCTTTCTTTCCATTGATGGACAGAATAGTGAAATTACTGCGGACAGCATCATTTCCTTGTTTAACCTTCATACATGGTGATTTAGTGACATGACCACTTTACTTTTCACGATATGGTGGTGTGTTCTTTGTTTAACTTGCTCAGTTATGTGTGACATCATTAGGTGATTATAGGATTCATTCCTCATTAGCTTTTGGCTATTAGCTTTACCATAAAAAGCAGTTTGAATATATAAAGCAGATGAGGACTGGACGTTATGTATATACTGACTTGCTCCATTCCTATGCACTATGCACAAACTCTGTATTTAGTAATTGTGTTTGTTTAACTGTGTGCCTAACTGGGATGTTATGTTTGGATGCCAGTATTGTCGTGTTCTGTTGCATTTTCACAGTGTTGATTTTTTTGGGGGTACAGAATATATTTATTAAAAAAGTTTTTTAATCTAGTTTCTTTTTTACTCATTTCTAAAAAACGAAAGCTAAAGTTTTCTGCTTTTTTTTCCCCAGGATGAGCGCACTCATATAATGCAGGTGAACGGAATAAACGGCCCATTGTTGGTAGGAGCTTGTGGAGGAGGCATTCCTGTGGCTATGGTCCCAGTTGTACCTGTTGGTGCTATGAATGGCACTGAACAGGGAACTCAGGCCACTATGCCACCTGTTGTTAATCTAGGAAATGGTTCACAGGATTGTAAATATGATGATAAAAAGGTAATTATGATAAAATTTTGTTATGAGACATATTACTATTTAATTCTGTATGAATGCTGATTTAAGAAACTTCTGGTTTTAAAGAAAAAATGCTCTAGTTTTAGTTCATATTATTTTTTTTTTTGTATTTTATAGCTATAAATATAATCATAGCATCATATATCACAGTTTTTAACAAGGAAGAGCCAGACTGAATTTTAAATCTGTTGTAGGTAATTGCCCTGCCTTTTGGTACAAATAGTGCAATTGACATAAAAGATGAACAGATGATTCTTACTACTAAGTACAGTGTATCTTTGTTTATCCTTCTGAAAAGATTCTGAATGAAACTTGAAAAGAAACGTGAATATTAGTAACATCCGTTAGGTTACAACAAAAGATAAGCTGAAAGTTAATGCTTAATTTCCTGTACTGGGTAATATCTGCTGATATTCTTTCTTATTCAGAAAAATAAATGCATACATATTAAATATAAAAATAATGCTAATTAAAAAAGTATAGTGCAAGTTTATAATGTGGCATTGATTACTGGAGCAGGTGTGTGAGACTATTCTTGAACCACCGATTCATATTGGTAAAAATTCGTCATTTTCTTTACTTAGTTACATTACTGTTTAATTGGTATATTTGCCAAACAGGAAAATACTGTAGCCAAAGTGACGTTATCACGTGAGGATCGACGCATCCGCCAACAAGCAGTGCCACATCTGCAAACCTCTTCTACCTCCATTCTGCAGCATGTTCAAGAAACCATGGATATTCCCATGTCGATCAGAACCATTTGCCATCAACTGGTGGCTAGTAGCCTGCACTCGTGCCATCTGTTAAGAAGTCTGCCATTGACCCCACACCGTAGTTGCCAACGTCTGCAATGGTGCCCGAGTGATGTGAACATTGGAATGGCACAGGGTTGTATTTCTCAGATGAGTCACGCTTCTGTTTCTCCAATGATAGGTACCACATATGAATGTGGCATTTATGTGGAGACAGAGCCAATTCGGCAGCAATTGTGGAATGCCACACCGCACCACAGCACGACATCATAGTTTGGGGCGCAATTGCGTATTATTCCAGGTTATCTCTAGTTCGTATTCAGGGCATTGATAGCCCAACAATGCGTGGATGACATGCTGTGGCTGGTGACACTCCCTTACCTTCAGTGAGCACCCAAGGCCCTTTATCTGCAGGATAACGCCCAACCACATACATTGCTCACTTCAGCAAAGTTCTATGCAGGGTGTGCAGATGCTTACCTAGCCACTGTTATCCAGGTTTAGATTCAAGTCCTTCTATGCAAAATCTGCACTATGAGACGCACACATAGTTTGCAAAGTGGGTGAATTTTCTTGCAATACTGGAGTGCACTGTCTAAGCTATATATCAGCTTCTTCCATCTCATCACATGCACTTTCAGATGCTTCAATTTTTGCTAACTGCGACTTCGTAATTTCACTATCAGTTTCTACCAACTTAACAGTTACATTTTCACTTTCTTCCACTTCTGCTTCAGGCACTTGAGAATCAGGAACTTTATTTACATGAATTATTTCTTCACCACTTTCAGAAGCTTTACAAGCCACTTCGTTTATTTCTTCATCTTTACAAACACTGCATTCCAGTTCAACTTCAGACACCTGAGGATGAGAAGTGTCTTTCCTTACTTTTTATTCATCATTTCTTTCTCTTTCTTTAATCTTGTAAGATGTTCCATCCTTTATTTCATTAGCTTTCTGGGATACTTCAACAGCTACTTCCTTCATTTCTTCATCCTCTGATTCTTCAGGTGCCACTTCTGTCATTTCCACATCTTCCATAGACTCCAACTACTACCGATTCTCCTTAGTCTCTACGGAAATTCATGAAAAACTATGAGCTACGAAAAGTATGGGAAAAACTACGAATTTTTTACAGAAACAGAGTAGGAGAACCAGTACGCAAAACGGAACCAAGTAATTCATCCGATGATTGGCTGAATACTCGTGCATTCAATCCCATATCAAACACAGTTGAAATGGGATTGAATGCCATTTGTAGATCCTGCCACTGCCGCATTCGAAAGATGAGCTGTAGCAAATGGGTGACAAGGAATGAAGAGCCATTCCTTAGGACACTATTTATAGTCTCATTGATTCTGTATGTAGACGTGTTGCTTCGTGCATCACCATCCAAAGTGGTCCTACATCTTGAAATATGCACCTGCACAACTATGTATATCATGTAATTTAATCCTTTTTACTTGAGCTAATTTAATGCTAAAGGGTAGGAGTACCATTGATGCCGCCGCCAGTGGCAGTACTTGTAGTGCTCACTGGAGTCACAATTTCCATCACGACTCAAGGAATGGTGCCAGAATGTTGTTAGTTTTCTAGTTAGTGTGCGAGGCTGATACATGCTTACTTAGGGTAAATATTAGGTGGCCCCTCACTTCTACATAACATAACATAACATAACCTACTGAAATGATGCTGTCCTCGTTCTGTATTATGCATATCATTTCGAAATAAATATCACTTCTTGTTTATTGCTGTATCTCTGTTTGCCGAGTTTTATCACTTTCTGACCACTCCCTTCTTGGTGTTGCATTTTAAATGTCAGTTAGTGTATAATGAATGGTAGATAATATAAATAAGTCCAAAATGTTTTATAATTGTTTGAAATGATTTTTAAAATATAGATGTTTTATTCTTGAAATTAGTTTTAATTTGAAAATTTTTTTATGCGGGTGCTGAAATACAACCAACCTTGGTGAATCGTACACAAGGATGCCTCATACTTGTGGGGTGACTTTGCTAATAACAATTGTACTATATGAATGAAATAAAAAAAATAATTATTTTATTTCCCAGTTTTAAATTTATAGGCCTGTAGCACCCCTCCTTTCAACCATGCATTTCTTCTTGAGTGTTTGTAAAACTGTAATTTTAGAAATGTACTGCAAAAAAGAAATCTTTTTTGTCATTTTTCCTCATAATAAATTAAATCATGCTGTTGTTACGTTATTTTCTTCTTCTTTATGTTCATAGATTTGGAGTGAATAACAACAACACTCGATGAAGCATCGAAACACACTTTATTTAGCCAATATTAATCAGGGCAGCTCCAAGTCATGTTTTACAGTCGTTGAAGATCTACTGTACACTCGCTGGAACAATCAGCGACACAACCTTCAGGTTATCAGGCTATAACGGTGGAGACAGCTTCACTGCAAAGCCCAGAGTACAGCTCCCGACTCTGCGTGGTCTTTCTCGGAACTTCACGTACTCTCGAGACTCTCCACGCTACAACTCGCGATGCACTCGACGACACACAGAGCACAGCTCCCAACTCTTAGGTTCAGTCGTTCCTGGAGCTCAACATACTCTCTCGATGATGCACTGACCGCGATATAATAAGACTCTTTCGATGCATTTGACGAACTACTCGGCACTCGCTGCCCGACTCTCAACTCAATCGACTCTGCATGGACTGACTAACTATCTCGCACTCACTCTCCGCTAACCAGCAGGGTTTATATAGTTTTTGGCTTGTGTTCAAGAACATTCTTGGCTAAACCGATAAGAATTCGTTCCAGAAGTTTCTTCATCCGTCCATGGCATATTGCCAATTTTGTCGCCAAATGTGGCAACCTTGCCTTCATTTTCCATTTTCTGGCAACCCTGCCTTCCCTTGCCATTTTATGGCAACTCTAAACCTGCTTTGCGGGGAAGCCATCTTACCATGCCTGGACATTTCGTAACACTGCTCCCTCCCAAGGACTGCACGTCCCGGGCAGTATAACCCTTGGTCAGAAGCCAAATTCGATACAAACAAAAGGTAATAAAACATACAGATAACATAACTAAAACAAATATTTACACAATGTACAAGTTATATACACAAATTAAACACATAACAATTTTAAATTATACAAGTTAAAGTTCATAATGAAATTCAGTCTCAGTCTTTTCATTATACCCAGGTCAAATACTTTTCCACTGTAATTCTCTGATGTATTCCTGTTTTGCATATCAGAGTCTGGAGATTCAGCTCTTTCAGGCTTTTCATCCACAGGAAAATCTAAAACAGTTCGTACACCACTCTGTAGTTTATTCCTATCATGTATACAGTTCACCTCAGTATTTTCAGCTGCTGGTACATGCCCATTTACCTCTGTTTCCTGGGAACCAGTTCCGATGTTTGCACCAGGGTCGCGAATAGAATCCGGTCTTTTACAAGCAGAAGTATCCAGGTTTAGATTCAAGTCCTTCTATGCAAAATCTGCACTATGAGACGCACACATAGTTTGCAAAGTGGGTGAATTTTCTTGCAATACTGGAGTGCACTGTCTAAGCTATATATCAGCTTCTTCCATCTCATCACATGCACTTTCAGATGCTTCAATTTTTGCTAACTGCGACTTCGTAATTTCACTATCAGTTTCTACCAACTTAACAGTTACATTTTCACTTTCTTCCACTTCTGCTTCAGGCACTTGAGAATCAGGAACTTTATTTACATGAATTATTTCTTCACCACTTTCAGAAGCTTTACAAGCCACTTCGTTTATTTCTTCATCTTTACAAACACTGCATTCCAGTTCAACTTCAGACACCTGAGGATGAGAAGTGTCTTTCCTTACTTTTTATTCATCATTTCTTTCTCTTTCTTTAATCTTGTAAGATGTTCCATCCTTTATTTCATTAGCTTTCTGGGATACTTCAACAGCTACTTCCTTCATTTCTTCATCCTCTGATTCTTCAGGTGCCACTTCTGTCATTTCCACATCTTCCATAGACTCCAACTACTACCGATTCTCCTTAGTCTCTACGGAAATTCATGAAAAACTATGAGCTACGAAAAGTATGGGAAAAACTACGAATTTTTTACAGAAACAGAGTAGGAGAACCAGTACGCAAAACGGAACCAAGTAATTCATCCGATGATTGGCTGAATACTCGTGCCATCATGTATCACGTGTTGAGTGCGTTGCTGGTTTTGAAGAATAGCCAATCGTAGATCAG